GCTTGCATGCGGCCGTGGTAAGCCATTGTCTTTCAGCTTCTGCGCCCTCCTTTCCCACATACCAAGCAAAGCCCGTTGAGTGCTGCGGTTTTCCTGTTAACCTGCAGCAGCAGAAACCAAACTAACCCCCCCCCATCCAATTCTCTGGGATGATCTCTTTATCCCTCCCCTCACCGCGTGGCTGGTATCAGGGAAGATCCTTGCTAGCCACCTGTGAAAAGCTCAGCACCAATCCCCCCCCCCCCCCCCCGCGCTTGGCTTACTACAGGGAAGGATTTCTTTTCAGCCACAGGCAAACAGCCCAGTAGGAACGGCCACCTCTGTCCCCTCTTTAAATTCCCGTATTTCAACCAGGTTACCATGAGCGATATCACTCTCCTGAGGATTACACAGCAAGATAAAGAACGGATGTTGCTTGAATGCCAGCAAACACCGGGACCATACGCTGCCAGGCTTTGTCATGCAATGATACCAGATTACTTGCTACTAGCATGGCATGGTCAAGTGTCCTACCATGGAGGACGGAATAAGGCTACATTGCCCAGAAACCTTCTGCAAAGACTTTTGGAGTACCTCCAGGAGAGCTTCATGGAGACGTCCCTGGAGGATTTCCGGTCCATCCCCAGATACGTTAACAGACTTTTCCGGTAGCTGTACTGGCCACGAATGCATCCCAAGTCCTCAGGGCAAATTAATCATTAAAAAACGCTTGCTTTTAAACCATGTTTTATATTTTAAAAGGTAAACTCACCTGAGGTCCCTTCCATGGGGTCATGGTCTTGGGTACTGGCTTGGGAGGGTACTTCACTCAGGCTGAGAAAAAGATCCTGGTTGTTGGGGAGAACGGAGTGCTGTGTGCTCTCCGCAAGCTTGTCCTCCTCCTCCTCCTCTTCTCCGTCCGCAGAATCCTCAGGTGTGGCTGATGAGATTACCCCCGCCTTGGAATCCACAGTCAGAAGTGGGATAGTGGTGGCGGCCCCCCCTAGAATTGCATGCAGCTCAGCGTAGAAGCGGCATGTCTGCGGCTCTGACCCGGAGCGACCGTTTGCCTCTTTTGTTTTCTGATAGGCTTGTCTGAGCTCCTTGACTTGCACGCGGCACTGCTCTGAGTCCCTATTGTGGCCTCTCTCCATCATGCCCTTGGAGATTTTTTCAAAAGTTTTGGCAATTTTGTCTTTTCGAACGAAGTTCTGCTAGCACTGAATCCTCTCCCCATATAGCGATCAGATCCAGTACCTCCCGTACGGTCCATGTTGGTGCTCTTTTTTGATTATCGGCCTGCATGGTTACCTGTGCTGATGAGCTCTCTGTGGTCACCTGTGCTTTCCTGTGCTGGGCAAACAGGAAATAAAATTCAAATGTTCACGGGGCTTTTCCTGTCTACCTGGCCGGTGCATCCGAGTTCAGATTGCTGTCCAGAGCGGTCACAATGGTGCACTGTGGGATAGCTCCCGGAGGTCAATACCATTGAATTGCCGCCACACTAACCCTAATTCGAAATGACAATATCGATTTCGGCGCTACTCCGCTCGTCGGGGAGGAGTACAGAAATCGATTTTAAGAGCCCTTTATTTCGAAATAAATGGCTTCGTTGTGTGGACGGGTGCAGGGTTAATTTGATTTAACGCTGCTAAATTCGAATTAAACTCATAGTGTAGACCAGGCCTATATTTCAAACAGAAGTGGTTACTATGTTGAAACCTGTCTACAGAGAAAGTTTTTCCTATGGAAAATATTCTCTGTAAATATTGACAACAATAATAACTTGGACATTGATCCTGCAAAGACTTAAGCCATATGCTGAAGAATATCTAAAGAAACCTTATGTTCCAGTTTTACCAAAGCAGACCTCATTTTTTGTATGATGTCTGAGGGTCCCAGGCCCTTCTTTTGGGGCACTTGAAATGTCCAGGTTTTTCATTTCATCAATGAACATACTCATTTTTAAAATGTGTTTCTATCAGAGGTAGAATTTATTCTGTTTACCAGCAACAGTCTAATGGAAAGCATTCTGTGTGATGCAGTGTTTGGAGAGAAAAGTTGAATGAGTGTAAACACTGTCAAGGCTGTTATTTTGCTCAAAGTGAATGTTAACACTTGTTAAATATTTCATGATAAATTTATTCTCAACACTAAATTACTGCAAGAACTCCTCTGCTCCAAAAAATATGAGCAACTTGAGTCAGAAGCTGGCTGTAGGGGGCACCAGCACACATTTTTAAGAATGTACTTTTCCCTTTTGCATGAGTGGTTCACCAACCTAAAAGATATAGCCACAAAAGTATCAGTTTTTCATTTTGAAAATACGGTCACCTTAGCCTTATCTTCAGGATTTCAGGGGATTTCTCAGAAGCCCTACCATCCTGAGGAGTGCTTCAAAAATGCAAGGCCTTTTGGTGGCCCAGACCCTGCAGATGCAGCAGCCAAGAAAATTAAACTGAATAGAACAGAAGACAAGAGATGGACAATTCTTGAGTTTCATTGTTGTCTTTATTCTCATAAAGTAGGTGATTTGTTATTATTATTAGAAGACAACAGCTTTTGGACAGATTTGGCTATCAATGTAGTCACCTACAGAGTGCTCTCTTGCCTTCAACATTTTTTGTGGCTAGAAATCTGGTAAGTAGAACCAGTGACCTTAATTTCTACAAACTCAAGGCCTCATACCCTGTTTAGCTAGCATACACACAAAATGAATTTATATCCTGCAAATTGTTGGGCAGATAAGCTATGATAGAAGTGTCAGATTTGCTGCTCTTCTGTAATGAGTGATCTATAATTGTGCCAGTCAGTAAACCCATTACAAAAGTCTGTATTATAATTATACTGCAAATTTAGAAAAAAATACATTTTTAGGGCATTTTCCACTAATATGACAGAGAAACTCAGGCCAGTCAGGAGAGAATGAAAAGCCATCTTGTAACACCTGGTGAATATATATTGTTAAAGCAGATTACAAATTCAAATAAATAATTCTGTAAATTTTAAAGGAATATCTTCCAAAGAAATATGAGCTGGGATGCATTTTCTTCCACATCATAGAATGCTACTCACTGCAGGTGTTGTCCAAAGTTCCATCCACAAGTTTATTGATTGTGGACATTTAGTAGCAACTCTTGAGGGCCAGGCACTTTAATAAAAGCTCTCCCTGATTCCTAACATTCCTGTGGTCATTCTTCACTTTTCTTACAAGCTTTCTCCTGTCCATTTTGAGTGGGAGGATGTTGGCACGTCTCAAATTACTCTTCTTGGGCAATTTTTCTCTACAGTAAGAGTTGTGTCATGTGAGAGCAGATAACAGAGACTGTATATAAAAGGCCCACCTGATCATCCCCACCTGCCAGAAGGAGCTAAAGGAAAGTTAATCTTCATGACATTCTCATCACTGAGATTTCTCCCCATTCATGCTGTCATAGTGCAAAGAGCTACTTGTAGGCAAGTCCCAGCCACAATGCCAGTACACCTTTACCCCGATATAATGCTGTCCTCGGGAGCCAAAAAATCTTACCGCGTTATAGGTGAAACCGTGTTATATCAAACTTGCTTTGATCCGCCGGAGTGCGCAGCCCCCCCCCCCCGAGCACTGCTTTACCGTGTTATATTCGAATTTGTGTTATATCAGGTCACGTTATTTCGGGGTAGAGGTGTATTTTGTCACAAGCCAAATTCCTCCTCCTCAAATTATGTCCAAAAATGAGTGAATTGTGATATAGATGAGCTATAAATGAAATAGTTTAAAACACCTAAATAGAATTATTTAAATTACTTTCCTTCAAAACTCTTCTCTTACTGAAGCTTTTCTTAGTCCTTCCCCAATGATACTCCGACATCTTTGAGTGTCGTATACCAGGATCAATTTCAATCATAACCTTGGCTCTCTTCCTGGAGTAATGCACATCGAGTGCTGGAAAACTGGGTAATGAATTGTGTTACTCAAATATATACTAAATAATGTTAGAGAAATGAATATTATTATATATAGTATTATAGGAAAATATAAAGAATGTTTTGCTTTTTGTGTGTGTTCCTGCTGATGCAGCATTTCAGAAGTTAGCTGAAACAGCTTCAGGGTTGCGTAAACCATGAAAGCTTGTGTGTGTGTGTGTGTGTGTGTGTGTGTGTGTGTGTGTGTGTGTGTGTGTGTGTTAGTTGTAAAAATCTTGATCTGTGAAAATAGGGTGAAACAGAGTGACATGAGGGAATTGTTAACTTCAGGTGTGCCCTGAACATGCTAACAAGCACATACCCAAAGCCACTAAAAAACAAAACAAAACAAAACAAAACCCTACACAGACCAGTAAGATAGAAACAACTGGAGGGAGCTAGATGGGTTAACAACAAAGAATAGATGGCAGAAATAGACAGATTAAAGTAGGTTTTTAGCAGGATAAGCAAAAATGGATTAATTTGCATTAGTTATTGGGATTTATGCATAAGAATGTTTTAACTGGGGTTTAGAATGGACATGTGTAGAGATTAGATAACTCATTAAACTGAGTCTGCCTGAAGTTGCAGAACAGGGGGTAAAAATAGGCAATTGGTAATAGGAAAGTGGTGAAGACGACATAGGAAAGAACAGAGATTTGAAAAGAGTTATTTGAAAAGTTTCTTGGCTTATCTGTTTTTGCATGTACATGTAATTCATAGGTGGTAATATCATTGTCTTAAAACATACAAAATAAAGGCTGAGCCTAAATTGGAGTGGATCTCGTTTGCAGCATGGGCCATTGAAGTACACCGCTACCCCGATATAACGCGACCCGATATAACGAATTCGGATATAACATGATAAAACAGTGCTCCGGGGGGTGGGGCTTTGCACTCCGGCGGATCAAAGTAAGTTTGATATAACACTGTTTCACCTATAACGCGGTAAGATTTTTTGGCTTCCGAGGACAGTGTTATATCGGGGTAGAGGTGTATTTAAATCATGATTTGTCAACTTCAGTAACTCAGCCAGCGGTTAGGGGTCTATTACAGGAGTGGCTGGAAGGGAGGGGGAGGTTCTGTGGCTTGCAATGTGTAGGAGGTCAGACTAGATGATCATGATGGTCCCTTCTGACCTAGAAATCTGAGTTTATGAGTCAGCCAACAACAAGGTACTCTAGTCTATGGCCTGGTCTAGGAGGGGGAAAATTGTAGAATTCCATCCCAGAAAAGCCAAAGGCCCGAGGCCTGAAACCTAATGGGGTGCATTCAGAGAAACCAGAGGTGCCCTGTGACCTTGACATGCATCTTTAAGAAACTGTCATTCCACTCTTTATCCTAATGTTTGTATCTTTATGACAAATTAAATTTTCTTTCAACCAAAGGAGCCAGATTCTGCTACCTTTACTTGTATTGAATAGCACATTATTCCACAGTTAGTCCCATTGGAATGCCACTTGGATGGCAGTATCTGGCCCATAGTAATGAGTATTCCTTTTTAAATGCTATGTATTTAAGTCTTTTCTTCAGTTACTGACTTTCAAATGTTAACTCTTAATTCAGAATGGTATTTGTGTTACTGTGTCTATAAATGCTATTGGAACCAGCTATATTCTAATGTTACTTCTACATCAGACTGGAAATCAGAAAGATCAGTTGAATTAAACACTGACTTATAAAGTGTTGTGTCTTCACTAATGCAAATTAGCCTACTATTTATTGAGAGCTGCTAAGAGATTATATTATTAATATATATATATATAAAAATAGATTCCAGCCAAGAACATTCTATAGAGGAATTCTAGATGACAAAGGGTCCTTGTTGTTTGAAACACCTTTAACAATACTTTGTGACCTTGAATGCAGATAACTAGAGAGTTGCTTTGTTAAGGTATATTTACCATATATATATTTGTTTAAACAAAGGGGCTGTGTGAGACGCTCTAGACAGATCAAGAACTGTTGTCTTTGATATAACCCTTATCCAGAACATCATACCAAAGACACAGATTTGGCAATAAAGCATCCCCTGTACTGGGCTTGGGAAGAAACCAAACTGATTACAAAGAAAGACTGTAAATTGATCAAAATATGAAAGGGTAATATTAAACTTAAAGACTGAAGTACTTGTTCCATATCTTTAGAAATGACTTGCTGAAGAGTAACACGCCTATAGTCTGAAACAGACATGTTATCGTCTGTCTTCTGGATGGGAAAAATCAAGGCATGTTTCATTTATTTGGAATATGGTCATGGGTCAAAGAGAGATTTAAAATGTAAGCATGAGGGAGTGCAATAGTGCTTGCTGTAACAGTTAAGTATTTGGACTCTAATACCATCAGATCCTATAGCAAAAGATATATTAAAACTATATGGGATTTACATTCAATTTCCGGGAAAAGGCAGTGGTAGGGTGAGGACAGGTATACAGATTATTCTGGGCATTGTTGTATTGGGAATATACTTAAAATATTAAATGTAGGTAATTACTGTACTTTTAAAAAAAGAAATTAGTAAACATTTTTATTTTAAACAGTGGATCTGCTTTAATTTCATCACTGATAATGCAGAGAAGACACTGCACAGAAATATAAGAAATTCTCATATAGTTCATGTTAAAACATTTTGTGAACAAATTAGAAACAATCAAATATTGTCTTTACCTGAAAACAATGTAGTTCAAGAAACACAGGAGTTTGAAGTATGCCCAAAAAATTCTATTTGGTTGTGGGAACAAAATCTGCTACATATACCACAAATCTGTTGAACAGATCAAAGCCTTTTTGAAAGGAGCTGCTGGAAAAAAAATGATGCATACCAGTTGAAGTCAGCACTTTTATTATTCTGTTTCTAAGTCATCTCAACATACCCAGACTGGTGAGTCGTGATTTCTCAGCCTCTCTCAGAATTATGTGTTTAATTTTGGCTAAATGCACAAGATCAGCAGAGATGCATGGTTATATGATTTAAATGTGCTCAATTGTTTGGGAAGGGATACAGCTATTATTAAAAGAAGAAAGCTGGAGAACAACTAGTTCAAAAAGGACATCAAGAGAGTTTGTTTGCAATGTTGTTGTAGCTGTGTTAGTCCTGGGATATGACAGAGACAAAGTAGGGAAGGTAACATCTTTTATTGACCCACCTTTTGTTGGTGAAAGGTACAAGCTTTTCAATTACATAGATAACCTGAAGAAGAACTCTGTGTGGTTTGAAGTCTTGTACCTTCCAGCAACATAAGTTGGTCCAAGAAATGATGTTAGCTTACCTTCCTTGTCTCTGACAAGAGAGTTTGAAATTAGAGGGGGACAAATTAGTTTGAATAAAATAAGAAGCAACTTGAACTATCACCCAAACCTCTAACTGAACTCAAGCTGAATCGTTTATAATGTTTGAACAAATATTGAATTTTTCATTCTGCTTTTGTGCCCTTTTCCAGTTTAAGGTTCTGGCTGGCACAAGAAGCAGTAGTGATCAAATACTCAGAGAGGATGTTCTAATACAGTGGCTCTCAAAATGTCCAGAATACTGTACCTCTTTCAGGAGTCTGATTTCTCTTGCATATCCCAAATTTCATCTCACTTAAAAACTACTTGCTTATAAAATCAGACATAAAAATACAACAGTGTCACAGCACACTATTACTGAAAAATTGCTTATGTTCTCATTTTAGTATATAATTATAAAATAAATGAACTGGAAATATAAATATTGTACTTACATTTCAGTGTATAGTATATAGAGCAAAATAAACAAGTCATTGTCTGTATGAAATTTGAGTTTGTACTGATTTCGCTAGTGCTTTTTACATAGCCTGTTGTAAAACTAGGCAAATATCTACATGAGTTGATATACCCCCTGGAAGACCTCTCAGTACCCCCAGGGTTACATGTACCCCTGTTTGAGACCCACTGCTGTAATGGCATAGTAGTTCTAATTCAACTGGAAGTAGAAAGTAAAGGAAATCTCACAAGAAAGCCTCTTTCCAGCTCAGGTATATTGATTTAAGAGGTTTTGATAGTTTGAATAAGCATCTGAACTTCTGAGTGCTTCTCTGAAGTGAAACTTTGGAAGCTTTGGTCTGAAGTAAATAGGATGAAATTCAATAAAGACAAATGCAAAGTACTCCATAGGAAGGAACAATCAGTTGCACACATACAAAATGGGAAATGACTGCCTACGAAGGAGTACCGTGGAAAGGGATCCGGGGGTCATAGTGGACCACAAGCTAAATATGAGTCAAAAGCAAACATTATTCTGGGATGTATTAGCAGGAGTGTTGTAAGCAAGACGCAAGAAGTAATTCCGCTCTACTCCGCACTGATTAGGCCTCAACTGGAGTATTGTGTCCAGTTCTGGGTGCCACACTTCAGGAAAGATGTGGACAAATTGGAGAAAGTCCAGAGAAGAGCAACAAAAATGATTAAAGGTCTAGAAAACATGACCTATGAGGGAAGATTGAAAAAATTGGGTTTGTTTAGTCTGGAAAAGAAAAGACTGAGAGGGAACATGATAAAAGCTTTCAAATATATAAAAGGTTGTTACAAGGAGGAGGGAGAACAATTGTTCTTCTTAACCTCTGAGGATAGGGTAAGAAGCAATGGTCTTAAATTGCAGAAAGGGAGGTTTAGGTTGGACATTAGGAAAAACTTCCTGTCAGGGTGGTTGGGAACTAAATAAATTGCCTAAGGAGGCTATGGAATCTCCATCATTGGAGATTTTTAAGATCAGGTTAGACAAACACCTGTCAGGGATGGTCTAGATAATACTTAGTCCTGCCATGAGTGCAGGGGACTGGACCAAATGACCTCTCGAGGTGCCTTCCAGTCCTATGATTCTATGATTACAAACATGAAATCTACAAAAATGGGATATTTATTCAGTATATCATAGTTAATCTGTCTATGTATTCTTAACACACTCATTTCATACTCTCTGTGTGCCAGTTTGGACAGGATACTTATTCTGGTGAAAAGTCCCATAGATTGTAATGTGGTATACTGGGCCTGAAGGGTTTAAAAGGCCATACTGGGCCCAGGTAGCACAACCCCTCCAGGCCTGCTGAGCATATGACTACTGGAGGAGTGGGTTAAAAGGAGCTCAGAAGCCCAGACTATTGGTCGTGGGAAGGCTGTAGGAGAGACAAATCCTCCAGGAATCCAGATAGAAGGTTGAGCCTGAGATGGGACCATAAAGAGGGTGTAAGGCCCACAGGCAATGCCTTCTGAAACCATCAACCACTTTAAGAACCAGCAGGTCCTGCAGAGCCCTGCTCATTTGGACTCTCTTTGTTAAGCGATTGTTTGGACTATAGGGGCCATGTCCCAACCTGAAGGGACTTATAGGTAGGAAGTAGCCCAGGGCAGCAGACAGAGGACAGGTCTACACTACCGCTTATGTCAATATAACTTGATTCAGGGGTGTGAAAAAGTCATCCCCCTGAGTGACACAAGTTACACTGACCTAAGCACCCTAAGACAGCGCTACGTCAGCAGGAGAGCATCTCCCGCTGACATAGCTATCGCCTCTCGTGGAGGTGGAGTAATTATGCCGATGGGAGAGCTCCCATTTCTCCTGTCAGCATAGAGCACCTTCACCAGACGCACTACAATACCGCAGCTGAATCAGTACAGCTTCATTGGCGCAGCTGTGCTGATGTAGTGCTTCTAGTGTAGACTAGCCCTTAGATTGTCTGCAGGGAGGACCCTGCTGGTGTTTCTCACACAGGTCCTGGACTGGTGCCTGGTGGAGAGGGAGGGCCCAGGTCCTACTACCACACCCCCTTAAAGGTGAGACCAAGAGGCAAGTGGAGGCCAGAAGATTTGTGGCTGACTGATGATCAAGAACCAGGCACTTCTACCACCTTGACAGAGAGGCAAGGGGCCAGAGGTTAGGTGCACTAACTGCTAGGCCACCCAGGCCTCTGATCATCTTATCACAGCTTGGCTTTATATCTTATCACAGGACAGCATCTCTAGTGGTTGTGGATCCTCTAACATCACACTGGAGCATTGGATCAGTCCTAACTCAGAAGGAAAAGTGTTCTTTATTGAATTACCAACACCACTTCATTTAGAAACTTGGTGTTGTTTGGGCTTCTTCCAGCTGTGATGAATTGGGAACATGCCTGTACAATTTATGAATGCTGTGTGAGATGATGAACCTACATGTCTGTGTCCGGTTGCACACTCCATTATGAATGTGCAGCATTTTGCCTTCTCTATGGTCTGTTTGTTTCTATGTTGGGTTGAAAATTCCCAATGGCTGGTGGCAAAAGAACAACAAAGAAGGTGGCTGACTGTTAAGTACTCACTTGTGGGAAATCTATTCACTCTAGCCAAGAGACTGGTCCCTGCCCAGAACAATTGGTTTAGCGCAGGGGTAGGCAACCTATGGCACGCGTGCCGAAGGTGGCACGTGAGCTGATTTTCACACTGCCTGGGTCCTGGCCACCGGTCCGGGGGGCTCTGCATTTTAATTTAATTTTAAATGAAGCTTCTTAAACATTTTAAAAACCTTATGTACTTTACATACAATAGGTTAGTTATATATTATAGACTTATAGAAAGAGACCTTCTAAAAACATTAAAATGTATTACTGGCACCCGAAACCTTAAATTAGAGTGAATAAATGAAGACTCGGCACACCACTTCTGAAAGGTTGCCGACCCTTGGTTTAGCGGGTGGGAAGTCACATTGTGTCACAACAAGGATGTGGGTGGTCTGACTTGTGGTCAGAGCAGGAGTCAGGCTGGGTAAAATACCAGGAGATTATCATCTGCGATAGTGCCAGAGGGCAGACTGAGAATCAGGTGTGAAGAGGCAAGCAGGGGCAGAGCAAGAAATCAGAGTCCAATTCAGGCCAGAGGGCAGAGCAAGAATCAGGTTGTAGGCTGGATCAGGATACCACAAGGTCACAGTCAAGGAGCAGGAAGTACAAGGCAGGCAGTCCCTAAGTAGGGCTACAAACTAATCCAACAACTGTTGTTAATTAGTTTTTATAGTATAGATGGGGTCAAACAAAGTATGTGTGGGAGCAAGGGGAGGAGGTGGGCTAAGTGGCATATGGTAGGGTAAATGATGACCCCTGATTAGTGTAAGCAAATAGCCAAGGACTCTCTTCTCTGGATAGGGCCTCTGGGAGATAGATACTTAGCAATTCAAAGATCAATATAAACATTAACTAATTAATAGCAAAGGAGAGCTCATGTTCACTCATTCATGCTTCGATAATTGTAAACTACGTTCGTACAATGCTTCTTGATCAGCGGGACTTAGCTCTACTCCAGCAGAAATCCTGACTCTACCTCTACTGATATAATTTTAATATCAATGCCAGTTGAATAAAAAAAAACCCTCCGAGAGCGCAACCCTCCCAGAATGCCGCCCCTGGAATTGTGCCACCCCAAGCACGTGCTTGCTTTGCTGGTGCCTAGAGCCGGTCCTATAGTTGATATATTAATACTTCCTTTTGCTATGAATTTGTCTGCCTTCCAGCTGATTGAAAGAGTTGCGTAGCTCCAAATTCTGGTTGTAAATCGGCGTGTTTACATTTCAGGGAAAAAAGGGGCTAAATTTATTTTGTACTCACGAGTTTGGTTTCCCAATTCTGAAAATGGAATCCTGCCTTGATGTAAGTCTGACTTGCATACTGATTTGTGTGTGTGCATGTAACTGGCATACACTGTATGATCCGATTCCTATTCTAAAGGGGGGGAAAGCAAAATTTATGTTTCATGTCTGTAAGTTAATCGGGTCTTTTGGGTCTAATATAATTTGCGCAAGAACCCTGCTGATGA